CACGAAGTGGTGTGGTGAAACCATATTGCTTTTTCTGATGTTTCTCCTCCTCCTTCTTCTTCTCCTCCTGCCATATCTTTAAATGGATTCAGCTTCTTCATTTTGGGGCCTAAGGATCTGAAATTTGGTATGGAGGTACAGTGGGCAAATACCCTTAGGCGTTTTTAAATTTTTGTGATACAGGCTTTTAGAATGGTTTTATTTGAGTTTTTTGGCTGTATTATAGCAAATGTATTACTGTGTCAGTGGGCAGTGTTAACCACATTTGGCATGAGTCATCACAATGGAATGCAGGGCATCAACCAATAGGCATGCAGCTTTCCTCTCTTCTTCTTGCTGATTGGCTGTTGGGATTTAACTTGATTAACACCTGCACAGACCATTTCCACCTGCACAGACCATTTCTTGCTGATTGGCTGTTGGGATTTAACTTGATTAACACCTGCACAGACCATTTCCATACTGACAGTATGTCTGTATTCAAGTGTTTTGGTAGGTATTTCAAGCTTTCCTGCTCCAGCATTGGAATGCGGGGCATGAACGTTTTTTTTTTGAAAATCAACAGTTTGCATTATGCAATTAAAAATCCTAACCAATAATGTAGGGAATAGCTAGCCAACTGTTGTAGTCTTAGTTGTATGTTACTTCATATTATAGTTATATCAATGTAAAGCATTGTTTTCCCTTGTGTTTCTCATTCTTTCCCTGCCATGTCGTAAAATGTGGTGAAGCCATCGCTGTATTTGCTCCAAAGCAAATATTGGCCTTTCTAGTTTATATACTAAATGTGCTGAGAAATAAAATGGGAATATTCAAGATCCTATTCCAATCTTATTAGAGCGAGACTAATTCAATCACGTCTCGGCCTCATACTAAAGAGTGTGGACCTAGAAGTTGATAATTGCAGCCTAAGTCCCCGGTCAAGTGTTTAGCCTTGAGCCCCTTGAATCGAATCTGAGTTAAATTTGAGTCAAATTTGACTGCCAACCACGCCCCGACCTACTCCCGACACCAGACAACCAAAAGCCAAGCATGAATGGAACCTCCCGTCCAGACTAGAATGTTTTTGAGACAAATACCTGGTCGAACACCAGCCGACCATGTACCACAGCCTACCATGCTCCCGACCTACTCCTAACCATGGTCGGGGGGAGTTCTGCTAGTGTTCGGGAGACCAAATTCGTGCCTATGTGTGTGATGTGACAGGGCCTACGTGATACGTGATGATTTTTCTTCCCCACAAAAAGCACTGCGATGTCCATCATTCCGTGAGCCTGTGTGAACAATGTCGTCACCGTTTGCGTATCGGACTTCGATATCATCTCCACTGACGTCAGGGCACGTCGTTACGTACCGGCGAGCTATCAGTCATCAGTAACAAAAAGATGGGAGATTCCTCTGACCCCAGGAGACAACACTAACACAACCTTTTCATCCACTGTGGAATAAAGGCACCTGGGGTGAAGGTTGGCTCTCGATAAGCCCTTTGCTGGAAGCCACAGCATGATTAGGTTGTCTCTCCTCAAACAAAGGAAGAATAACAAGAGTGTGGATGAATGTACGCCCAATTGCGACTCAATCAATAAGTTAGCATAACCTTTTGAATAAGACCCTGTATATGGATGACTCGAGAGAGATGATCAGAAACGATAGCTAGAGAGGAACTATCCAAAAGGCCAACAGGGCTCATCAATCCAAGATGTCTCAAACCATATCGATTTACGAGACTTCTTGACTACGAAGACGACCGCCAAAAGAATGGCGCTATAATTTTGATGAATGGACGAGGAACATTATGAGAAAGAAATAACGTTATTCTGGCAACTTTAGTATTCAAAACAGTTAGTCAGAATGTTGCCTGTCGTTTCAAAACGGATTGTGATTACTTCAGTTATGTGATGTATGAAGTGCCAAAAGCAGTTCTCTCTTTTGTAGTCTTTTCTTTTTTAAGACTAAAAAGTTATCGTGCAAACGTTCGATGCTGTCTAATATCGTAAAATAACGCACTGAATTGCTCGGTTTCGTATTATTCTGTAATTTGCTACTCGCTCGGTCGTCTTTGTTGAAGTGTATGGCGCTTCAGGTAATGGCTGTGGTACTGGAAAAGCAGTTATGAGTTCCTGAACAATAATCCCCCAAGTCTAAGAGAGGATTTTTAGAACTTGAATCCTCACAACACCTGGTTGTGATTGTTGCTACCGGCACTAGCAAGAAATAAGTTCTCCATACAGACAGCCGAAGGCTCCCTAACTTAGCTTCACCCCATCTGACAACAGTGGGGCTTCTCTCTTCTCGCCCCCGCTTTTTGCGATAACTACTTACGACAACGTATAATGCACGGAGGGAACCGGCTTAACACATTTTTATGACTCTAACATTTCCATTTTCATTCTCCCGTACTTCCACGGTGCGACCTTGGGAGCAGCTAATTGCAGGAGTGGCTGCTGTTGATGGAATGATGACGGAGATAGATTTAACTTCGGGACATACGGAGAAGAATGGGGTTAGAGTCAGAGCGCGCAGACGTTGTGTTTTTCAGATGTATGACTGATGGTTCTTCGGGAGCTGTTCCCTTGATTCGCCGCCTCTCCGTCATGTACCCAGGCGCCAATCCAAACACCTGACGGCCTCGCTGTTTCCTAGGCAATTAATTCTGAGCATCCCGGCACCTGCACGAATGAGCAACGGGCCGCGAACCGTGGTCGACTTCACGAAACCTTTGGAGGATTGGCAGCGATTGTAGCTAGAAACCGCACACACGGAGAGAACGCCGTTATTGAGGAGTTGTACGCTACGGGAACACGTGGGCGGTTGGGGGGCTATTAAAATTTCATGCAGGGCAAAGCGGCAAGACACCCGGAGAAATCTCCCAACGACTACACGCTGATTGCCAGCGCCAAGCATCAGATACACACCGACATCCCAGGTTTCAAGGAGACGCATTAAATCAGCGTTAGACTTTGAATGATTGCTGTTTCAGATCATACTCTCGGGACTTTAACGATAGATTTGTATGTTTTCCGCACTATCGAGTGCCTATCGTAAATAAGCACAGTAGTTAGAAGTACTTTGTATTTTCATAGAGGATTTAACGATTGCTTTCGAAAAGGTAGGCACACACAGACAAATACACACACACACGCGCGCTCGCGCATACATACATGAATGTACATACATTATCACTGTCACATACGCACACTTCCGCACGGGCACATACACACACACGTACACACACACACACACACACACACACACACACACACACACACACACACACACACACACACACACACACACACACACTCACACACACATCACAACACCCCCACCCCCAAACACATACGCACACACAATACATTCCTTATTCAGCTCAGTGCTATTTAGGCATCCGATGCCTCTCCTGTCTCTACCTGATTATATCATCAGGTGGCCTTTCCGAGACGGTGCTCTCAATCCGCCCGTCTGGAGGTCGAGCGTAAGGCTCCGAGCGTTCCTTTGGTATTTTCCTTTCACCTCTGGCCGCTCTGTTTCCCGCACCTGTTACCGCACGGCACGCGTGGTAAATGATAACTTCGTCATTTGCCTCAAATCTAGACATTCATCTATGAGTATGAGAATCTTGGGGACATTGCATACGGTTTACCTTGTTGTGTGTTCTTAGAAGTCATCATGAAACAAGTTTGAACTGCAGTTTCCAACACAAGAAATTGGACTTACACAATTTTTGGACTGTACAACTCCAGTCTTAAGTCAAGGAATGGGCAATCCACCGCTTCCGTGACGTCACGCAGATAACACACGTGGCTCTGTGAGCAGTGGATCATAGGTTGCAGACAGTTTGTGGCACCCCCCGTCTCTGTTGAGAGATGTGTACAACCGTCTGAAAATAGAAAAAGTCCAATTTCTTGCGTTGGAAATTTCAGTACAAACTTGTTTCATAATTGCATACGTTTGTGCAGGCGACTTCAGTTACAATGCACAACTCTTCCACATACAAGGCAACGCCTGTCACCCAAAATAAAATAATATATGAAGGCACGCGACTTAAGTTACAATGGACAACTCTTCCTCTTACCGCAAGGCAACGCCCGCTCACCAAGCAATGTCCCAATCATGCATGGCGCGACTCGGAAGACAAATATTGACCTGGCACAAACATTGATAACAACCGCCTACCCATTTATGACCCAAGCCGTACCACAGACGGACGACCCGAGCGTGGTTCAAAGTCCAACAACGGTGATGAAGTCATCACCAAGAACTTAGTACTTGTGTGGTCGCCATCTTGGAAAATTTGCTAGACCACCTGTACCTACCATGTAAAATGTCATAATACCGAGAGGTAATTCGCTCAAAGACTGTCTGAAGCGAGCCATATTTTCTTTGACACCACTCCGGATTGTTGTCACCAACAGGTTGGTACACTGAACGTAACAGCTAAGTCTAGAATCGAGAACCGATTGAGAGTACATTCAATGGCCGGACGAAAATTTATAGCCTTATTTTTTACTGCGGTCAGGTTGTGTGGCTACAAGTTTTCAAATGCATGCGTTTTAGGTTTGTGCTGATAAAATACGTTTTCAAATACAGACTATTTGCCCTGTTGTAGTTTGAAGGCTTCGCCAACTGTGTGCCTGCGTATATGTCGTTCGCATGTAGCGTTACGTACGCTTGTTCTTGATTAATAATTCCCATGGCTAGTCGTAATGTTGCAGGCCCTACGTTCTTATGACCCTGGATGCTATTTTCGTTCATTATGTGCTTTGTACTGCACGGTGTCTGACTAATTTACTAGTTTAGGGAACAACCCCCTCCCCCAAGAACTTTACTCTTGGGCCATAACATAAACGAAGTGAGTACTGTTACTTACATGTACCTAGTAGCGAGTAACAGTTTATGTGTAGTCGAGGCCTTGTCAGATGTGCACTAAAAACGCAAGATTTGTGAAAACAAAGAAATATGTATGAAAATCCCACTGCTATGAACCTTGTGTCACTAATTAACAGTTGCAATCAGTTATCCATTAGTAAGACGGAATGGGCGCATCCCACGTGGACAATCGTTAGGTCATAGGTTTGCACACGTACGAATGACCCCCCCCCCACCTCACCCACATACTCAAGCAATTAATTAGTAATAGATTAGTAACATAGTGACTGTGTTTTACTACCGATAACTTTCGTCATGCAGAATAAGGCCATGTTGATTTGTTTAAATGCATGACATCCTCTAGGAATTCCAAAACTGATGCGAGCGTGCGAATAAAAAAAAAAACGTTTGGCAAAAAAGTTGCCTCCATTGTGAAATCTGCGTGGTCATGAAGGTTGAGCAAATGACTAAACACACATACTATGGTATGGTGATTAAGTGACTCACCATTTTCATTACTTCACCCTTTCTTCTTTTCCTTTGGAATGGATTTTGGCTACTCTCGGAAATAGTACGGTTACCAATATTTTTTTTCCTTTCACGTTATGTATTTCATTATTTTGTAGCTTCTTAACTACGTAGATTTCATAATGAACTTCTTTTGCCAAACGTTTTTTATACGCATCAGTTTTCAGGCGATATCATACATACACATGTTAACTTGTTGGCTTGTATGTCTGTATGTATGTATGCGTGTTGGCAAATCATATAACACTTCCTTGCCCATGTAACACCGTTCACATGTGGGTATATGGGCACACATTTCTTTAAAGGCATCCAATGCAGTTTTAGGGCTTGGAAACTTTTCACAGTCAATATTCTATTCACTTAATATGTACATTTCTCACTATCCAAATGCATGTACGTTGACCCTAATGGAGTAAACAAAATCCAAAATTCTGACGGAAAATGGTTACTGGAAGGGCTCTTGGCTAATTCTTAAGGTACCACCCGTAAGATAAAGGACTCATCTTGGGGCTTGTTTCTGCAGTTTTAAATACCCAATGTATGAAATACTGATTAAAATGTGCTTATGTGAAGCAGTCAATATCATACAGACTGCCTTATTCAGAATATTACCAGTTTTGCTGCTCTGAAATCGCATTTGATATCTTCAGCTCTTATGTATGGTGCTTTCCTGCAATCTTTCCCCTTTCTAACTTGTTTTCTGCATGACAAAATTTATCAGTAGTGAAACACAGTCACTGTGTCGCTAAAGGTATTACCAATTCTCTGAGTATGTGTGAGGGGGTGGGGGGTCGTACGTGCATGTGTGCAGCAACAGCAAGCCATGACCTAAGCGCTACTTTAAACACATGTGTTTACAATTCACTGTGTTCCCCTTTGTTTATCACACTCTTACAAAACGGTTGATTTATAACCATTGACAAGTAGTTCTGCTTGCATAAAAGGCCATGTTTAATGTGCGTTGGCCTGCCGTACGTTCAACAAGTTGGGAGGTTTAAATGCATGGTTATTTTCAACAAAAGACAAAAAATGTGGAATGGATGGACAGCAAATTTCAACAGTACTAGTAGCGATGGCTTTGTCATAGTAGAAGCCATAAAGAGTGTAATATCATTCTTTTCAGTACAGTATAGATATACCCCATACCAACATTCTACCAACAGAACCATTGTAACTGAGTTTACATTATCATCCGTTATCTAATGGTCTATTTTATTTGTCAGACTAGTGAATAAAAGGCATCCAGTGTAGATTTTAGGGCTTGGAAACCCGATTTTTCAGAGCCAATGTTCTACTCATTTATCTACATACTTAGTTGAAACCACATCATCTCAATGTATATTAGACCCTCATGGAGCAAAATTTACCCAAAGTCTGACGGAAAACGGTTGCTGGAAGGGCCCTGGGCTGATTTTAGGGTACCGCCCAGAAAATAAAGGACTCATCTTGGGGCTTTCTGCAGTTTTAAAAGCCCAAAGTATGAAATGCTGACTCAAATGTGCCAATGTGAAGCAGTATATGCCAATGTCACAAAGATTGCCTTATTCAGAATATTTCCAGTATTGCTGCCATGAAATCGTATTGGATGCCTTTAATACAACACGAGTTAAGCAACTGGATAAGAACGACACGGTTTGTCTAAACTCAGTGCGAGCTTTGGAGTAGCGGTGACTCAAGTGAGCTGCCGGTGACTCAATGTACTGGTGCAGTTGACATTGATAATTACCTGCACCAGACAAGTTTTACCTGCACCACTCAAAATTAGAACGTGTGCATCATACTAAAACCTATTCAGAAACCATTGTCACCATACCTATTTTACTTAATAGGTGGTGACAGTCAAATTTGACCCAAATTTAACTCAAAGTCGATTCGTATCAAAATGTAGGCATGGCCTAAATCTGATCAGACTGATCCCGAACTTCAGCCATAATTGTTTGGCTTTTGTTCGAGGGAAGGTTCTGAATGTGCGACATGCGGGGACTATTAAGAAACCATACGGGCTATTCTCTTCTCGAAGCAGGCAAGAAACCATTCAATCTCAGTAATGATAAAAGCTCAACTTCATTCGCGGAAGTAATTAACGTGACTGATTTTCCCCCTCATGAATGATTGAAGAACACGACGTACTTCAAAAGTACCAAAATGTCTTTTGATAGTTTCCTTTCAGTACAAACAACATGTTGGAGAGAGTGGCGGCCTGGCTAGTCATGGCAACGTGCTTCCTGGAGACAACCTGCGGACAAAACCGTGACGTCGGTTCCGAGGTGACGTTTACGAACGTTGACGGGTCCTTTGTGGAGTACCTACCGGTGTGGTTACCTGACAGTCCACAGGTAAGCTGTCTTTGTCACGCGAGTCAGAGCTTCGTCCCACAGTACAGTACAGTACAAGGCCAGACTTGGATCCCTTTCATGCTTTTACACATAGTATAGTCTCCTTCAAACTCCTGTCACATATTTATACCATTCATGCTTTTATACGACTATACTCTCCTTTAGAGATAGAGTGATATTTAAAGTAATCGTTGTTCCTGCAGTAGCAAAAACTCGGAAAGGTCTAGTCGACTTGGTCTTCACCAAGTAGCTAGTGTGTTATCGTAGCTCATTTTTACCTGAAAAGTTCATGAAAAATGGGGTACTGTTTTGGGTCTGGATGATGCTTGGTTGTATATCTCAAGATCCTTCCGACGGAATGCAATGGTATTTAGCAGGTGGGTAGGCGGTGTGAAGTGGGTTGTGTAGTTTAATTTGTAACACCTGGTGATTGACCTTGGTACTGCAGGAGGGATTTTGTTTCGAAATATCTTAGAATATCTGAAATAGCGCGGGACGGTTTGTAGACGTGGTGTTTAGGTGGCATATCGTTGTTGACGTAAGGGTTAAATGGTGTAAATCTGCCCCCACCCCCGCTCTGCCCTGTAGTGTTGTTTAGTGTCGTGTTTTTGGCGACGCCTCATGGGCGAGCCTAATGGTACAGTAGTGTGTGTAGCCTGCAAGAATTCTAGGAATTGTATAGGAATGTGTTTCTACAGACATAGAATGTCCACAGGAATGTCTCACAGCTCTGGAATTTTGCTATGCCCACAGTCCTAGTCAGTGCGTTTAGCTTGCACCAGCAAGTTCTTGTAGATCTGCTGTGTTGTTAAAAAGAATAAAATTCTGTACCTTTACTTGTCAGGGCGTAAGATTAGACTTTCGCACGAACCAGCCTGACGCCCTGCTGATATATCATGAATACACGACAGAGGAGGAGGGGGATCCGCCATACGTCATCTTCGTACAGGTGGAAGATGGGAGGATAGAAATCAACCACATCTACCTGAACTGGAAGGAGACAGTAAGATTAGGCAGGGTAAGTTTCATGAGAGATATGAGACGAAAGTGTGCTGAGAAATGTCAGTAAATGTCAATATCAGACAGATTTTCTCATCCAGAATATATTTTGTTTTTGTTTTGCCACCCTGAAATTGCATTGGATGCCTTTACAAACACTACTAGGCCTGAGACATACACCACCAAGCCTGAGACATACACCACCAAGCCTGAGACATACACCACCAAGCCTGAGACATACACCACCAAGCCTGAGACATACACCACCAAGCCTGAGACATACACCACCAAGCCTGAGACATACACCACCAAGCCTGAGACATACACCACCAAGCCTGAGACATACACCACCAACCCAGACTCGTCCTAACGTTACAGGTCCTGGTGGAGGACACGTGGCACAGCGTCGCCTACAGAAAAGACCCGGCGACCCGCGTGCTGACTGTGACCGTGGACGGGGTGACGGAGACCATACCGCTGCGCACGGACGTGGACGGGATCTTAGACCGGGGACCGCCGGCATCTACCACTGCAGTGTACCTAGGAGGTGAGCAGGTTATTTATGTTAGGTCTTTATGTTTGCATTCACAGAAAGAAACTTATTTTGTTTTATGTTTACATTCGCAGAAAGAAAACACAATGTTTCCCCCCTGTTCCTCTTCGTCCCCTAACAATCAATGTCAGTGACCTGGAGCAGACGCCTGTAGCAGACACCCTGTGATGTTGGGTTACATTATGTAGCAAGTTGCAAGCTGGCCACTAAATATATTTATATACGAATGTGTTAAAGGATTAGACTTAACAGACTTTGTAAGGCTCGACAAGGTAAATGTTAACACACTGTATTTGCTTTGCAAATTTTATCTTTCTAGTCTGGCCATTTAAAATGAATACAAAAACTTTGTGGCCCTGGAGACCTGGTATTGAACAAAACATCTGGTCACGAAAAAATGCATGATACCTTCCGATTTCTACATGCTGGGTAAGTTGTATAGATGTCCTCCTTAGGTTGTATGTTGTTCGCAGGACTGCCTGACGGACACGACCACCGACACCACGTCCTGAGCAGGTACTCCCAGTTTGTCGGCTGTATGAGGAACGTGCAGTTTCTGGTCGACGGATCCAACAGGTGGGTAGAACAAAAGCCAAAATACCTTGTAAAATACCTTTATTTTTCATCGTAAAAGTGACTGCGAGAAGTTTGAACTGCAATTTCCGACACAAGAAATCGGACAAATTATCGACTGTACAACTTTAGTCTTTGTCAAGGAATGAGCAATCCACCGCTTCCGTGACGTCACGCAGATAACACACGTGTCTCCGTGAGCAGTGGATCATAGGTTGCAGAAAGTCTGTGGCGCCCCCCGCACTGGGCAAAATGGCCACGGATCCCGGCAGATACCGTCGCATCCGTCAAATCGATCCGTCACGGATGCGGAAGATTCCGAACAAATGCGAACAAATGCCAAATCCGTGAAGGATACGACAAAATACCCAACGGATGTGATACCGTATCCGATCGGATAGCAGATACACTATGGATACGATGTTTAATATGCTCGAATCCCTAACTGTAAACAAATACGGATATATCATTTGCACGAATCCTTAAATAAAAACATTTGCAATGATCGAGAGGAATAACTTTTTCATTCACTCATTAAATTTTCTTATTAACATAGACAGGTTTGACAGTGCCCACTCTATCAAAAAAGTACATTTGGTGGTTATACGGATCCTATCAAATCCGCGTTCCGTATCTTCTACGAATCCGCTGGCCAAATGAACGACCAGGGATCCTATCA